ATCAATAATTGTCTCAAAACGATTTTCTAAACATTGCTATAAATTGTTAAAAAGTGTAAAAAAGGTAGTTTTTTCATTATGTTTTTCTGAAATAGAACCACAAATTTACATGTTTACACAACATATAACATTTCTATCTCTAAATTATCAACTTTCCCCAATCTCTAAGATCAAGAATTCTCAACTATTACACAACACAGTTGTGTTATCTTCACAAAAGTTTGATTTTAAGATGACGTTCTTAAGCAAATGTTTTTAAAATTATTGAAAAGGCAGAAAATTTAAGAAACTTAGGAACTGGGGCCGGTTGCACGAAGCTTTGATAGCATTGTCCATTGGATAGCAAGTTTTTTTAACTCTTATAAAACGTTTTAAAAAGCAATAATTATAAGATTCCTAATAAGCAATCACTGAAATAAAACATTGTTTTTAAGATTACGGAATTTCTTTGTCGTAAAAAAATATAAACACCTTCTTTACAAGTTTGAAAATTTTTCCTGTCCAATGGATAACGCTATACAAGGTTTGTGCAACCGGCCTCAGATGATCAAGTTATCAACAACTTTGCATGTTTCAGGTTGATGATTTAGGCGCGGAGTATGGAGGGAGGCATATTTTCACAATTCAATATACTGCAAACATTTGCGGACTTAACCAGCAGAAAAATCTTAATTTCAAAATATACGTTCATAAAAATGTGAAGGTATGTTTTGAAATTTGAATAAGTCAACAAATAAGTTGATATAATTTATCTACATTTGCCTCTGACCGCAAAATATTAATTTCGTTTGTATGACTGTGCCACCCCCCGGTAAAGAAGCTGGCTTTCTCAAAAACCCTCATTTATCAAGTTGGTAAAGATACGATTATGAAAATTCGTTTAGTAAATTTTTCCTTGTCTATTTTGTTTAGAAAAATATCGATGCTTTGATGGAGGCGTAGATTATAGTCATTATACATAAAAAATAAATGAAATGAGTTTTTATGACAAAAGTTTTCATTTCTTGTAACATCTCAACGATGCAGACCTGGACCTTCAAAATAATTTCAGCTGACATTTCACATTGTCGGTGGTACTGTCGACGTCATTATCACTCTTAGTGAAATTAACAACACACATAAATTACAAGCTACATTGTTAAATCATTTCATCATCACTTTCATTACTTTCAGATTGCGAAGACTCACTATAATTGCCATTATCGTCATCATCACTTTCATATTGCCAAAATTCACTATCAATGCAATAATCGTCATTATCACTGTTTGTAAAAGGTGCGAAGTCGCTCACATACAAATTATAAGGTAGATTGTAATCCTTGCCTGACCAATCCTTTAAACCGCGAATAACGAGAAAATTGATTTTACCATTTGGTTGAATACAAGTTATTTTGTTATCAGTAAGTTTAAAAATTTTAACTGAAGCATCGGCTTTAAAGTGTGTTACAAGTTTCCATTGAATCAGATCAAACATGAACATGTAACCTGCAATATCTTGAAACAAAACATAATTGTTTCTTCCCATAAAATAGCAACACTTAACCATGCATGAATGCTCAAATTGAGATGCTTTTTCAGGAGCAATTAGCAACTCGTAAAAAATTATTCTATTTTCTACACAACAAGCTAACATTTTGTCGTCAGACGACAGAATACAATGGCTACACTTCTCCTGTTTACTACCTGATTGAAAAGAAAGCGTGGTTGGTTCACTGGCTATATTTTTATCATAGTCGTATATCCAAATTGATGTTCCTCTACACAAGATGATTATGCGGTTATACCTGGAAGAACAACAAGTGTCTACTTCTATCCAATCATTTTCAGGAAACAAAGTCTTTAAAACTTTGCCTTTCACAAACCAGACGTAAATTGTTTGACGACGAGAATCCTTGTTATTGGTGCAAAATAGAATCAAGGACGAGTCTGGAGAAAACAACACAAAATGGAAATCTGTTTCACCATTTTTCAGTTTATGAACTATTTCAGAAGTGGAGAAAGAGGAATCGGCAGAAAAAATTTTAAGTTCAGAATTAGAACATTTTACAAAATACCGTCCATCATAAGAGAATGTGAATTTATTTGCATCAGATGTGTCTAACTTGGAAAAGGCTACGTTGTCTTTATGAAAGTTTGAGTTTAAAAATCTGCAGGAAAGTCTCGTAAAGAAATCGTTTTTTCTTCGCCATTCGATCGAAATACAAACTTTTCTTCCATACAAAGCGAAGGGAAAATCTGGAAACACTTTCAAAATGCTCGTTGCTATCCAAAAACCAAGCGAAAAGATTTTTCTATTTTTGTAAATGATAGCGTTGTTATTATGCGTAAAACCAAATATATCTGAATTTCCTTCCATAACACCATGGAGCTTGAAGCTATCATGGCTAGTCTCAGCAGTATCGTCCTTAAGGTGAACCTCGTCATGATCTTGAGAATGATCAAATTTGTACAAACAAAATACAGAAGCAACCAACTTAAGAAGCAACCAATTTTTGTCACTAGACAAACGAACTACATCGCCCCAAATCAGATTATGTAAAGATATTGGCATGTTGTGAATGAAAATGGAGTCTTCCTTGACAATCGATACTCTATCTTTGAGAAGCCCAAAACGACTATTCAAATTAGATGGCCAAACCATATTTCCCTGGAAGAACCTACGTTTCTGAAAGTAAATCCCCTGGTCGCAGATTTTTACATTAGATGCATAAAAATAATGTAGCAAGCCATCTTGGAGAAACTCTTTTGGAGACAATTTATTGTGGAACACTTCATAACGAGTATATGGAAAGAAATGCCATATGTAGAAAAAAGAATTCAGTTTCCATTGATTATTAAGATCGCTTTCACACATGAGCTTGAACACATGATCCCCTGTTTTGACATCCCAGATTTGGTGTTTGGAAGAAGTGGGATAATTCTCAGGAGTGACGGAAAATATACATTCATCATCAGGTCGACATTCAACATTTTCCGCTCTTACCGCTATGTAATTTACATGTTCATGTTCAACAAAAGAAGCCCAGTTATAAAATGTATCAGTTTGTGGAAATTGAGTTTTCTCAACTGTCCTTCTCTCCTCTACGGAAAACCAGAATCTTAATGTCCCAAAAAATATCCATTTGTCGTCAGGAGAGAATGCTAAGCAATGAATTTTGTCCACGTTTAACTGAAAGGGACCAAATTTTTGTTGAAAAAAAGATGTTTCAAACAGATAAAGAACGTTTTCTTTTCCTCCTGCCAACAAAGTTCTGTCTGTTGAATAAGCATAGACGTCACACTTAATATTTATGTCGTCAATTGAAATAATATTCGGCAATCTACATTGGTTTGAATGCTTTGGTATAATTGCTTGTCTGACCTTCGAGGATAACCTTGAAAGACAGGAGTCCAAAAGATCAGGGTTATCTACCAAATGAAAACTGTCATTTTCAAGAATAGACTGTAGATCCTTAACAGTTTGTTTTTCATCTTCATTTAATTCAATATTTCCAATTGCAAAGTGAATGTCATTTAAAAGGGATAAAATACTTGATGTACTGCTTTGTATTCGTTGTTTGAGAAACTGATAATTAGAAAAACACTGAAAAAATATTCTCGACAATTCAAAGTTTTCAGTTGAAAGATGAAATAGATAACGACACTCAATTGTGAGGATGTAACAGACAACGGAATTTTCATCTGAGTCATTGAATGGTAGTCCATTCTTAAGGAACGATTTCAAAAGTTCGATGACAATTTCCTTAAAGAAAATTTGTGCTGCTGTTTTATCTATTACGAACTTTCGCGAAGCGCGCTTTTTATCAGTGAGCCAGTCAGGAATAAGATTGTGAAGAAACGTGAATTTTTCTTCATCACAAGAAAAAAACAGTGAAATAGCATCAATGTTCGTCAAGATCTAAATTTTCTTTTTTAAAAAAAATAAACGAACTAGGAACAACCACTACAAGAAATCAACTTTCTCATTTTTAAAGAAAGTCCGTGGGCATTTTCAGTGCAGAACATAATTTTCCTTTTTTGTAATTTCTTTTGCAGAAAATGATTTACCAGTGAAGTCGACTTGATTTTCCAAAAAAGTTTGAATATCTTGTTCATGTTTTTCATAAGCCTCAGCATTATTCGCATCTCCTGAACAAATCTTTACACATGGATTGTAATTTTTCAAAGTAAATTGCGTGTAATCTACTGGACGTGTTGTTATAAAGAAAAGTAGCCATTGTGGAAGTTGGGGAAAACGAAAAGTTACCACATCAAAAAATTCATTTTTCGAATCATAATCGGCCTCATCTAAAGCATCGATCACAATAAGAGTTTTTGAAAAAGTCTCAAGCTTCCATAATGGATCTTCGAAAAACTTAGTAAAAAGTTCTTGAACGCCTAGTTTTGTATCGTTTAGTCGTTTTTGTATTCCAGACACCCCTCCAAATAATTTCAAATAATCAGGAAAACGTTTACCTAACTGATAAGCAACACTGGCAAGGAGACATCTTGGATCACGACGTGTACCATCATAATGTCTACAAAAGAATGCTGCTCCTAACTTCCCATCATCCTTAGCGCGTTGAGCAATAGCAGCTGCTATAACTGTTTTACCAACTCCAGCATCTCCCATAAATACAAAAGCTCTTGATTCTCCAGGTTTTTCGAACCAAGCAGAGAAATCGTTGATCAACCATTTTCTTGTTTTTTGATCGAATTTTCGGTAGTGTAAATTGATATCGCGGTCACAAATGGCGAAATCTATGAAAATACAATGTTAAAGTAAGTTTTATTTGAAAGACATCTCGTCTTCATTCTTTAATGCATTTCTATATATAGCACTAATGGTTTATTGTTAACATTTTGCAAATTGTTCACATTTTTTCAATAGCTTAGTTTGCTTAGAATTTTCAATAGTGTGTTTTGTGGTGTTAAATTTATAAATCTGCACTTGAAATTTTGTAGTTTTAATAATATACCATTAATATTGCTTTGATGAAGTTGCTCAACTGTGTCTTTAACTTTCTCAACTTTGTCTTCAACTTTCTCAACTTTGTCTTCAACTTTCTCAACTTTGTCTTCAACTTTCTCAACTTTGTCTTCAACTTTCTCAACTTTGTCTTCAACTTTCTCAACTTTGTCTTCAACTTTCTCAACTTTTTCTTCAACTTTCTCAACTTTGTCTTCAACTTTCTCAACTTTGTCTTCAACTTTCTCAACACGTCTTTTCAACTGATCTATTTCTTTAATGCAATTCGCAAATTTGTCAAGCGTCTCTCGCGTTAACATTTTGTACTCTTTGTTTTCAAATTTCGTTTCTTCAACTTCTTTTAAAAGTCTGTTAATGTGATCTTTTAACTCTTCACATAAAGTACGATCGCTTTTCCACAATGTCAAAGCTGTAAAATGTAATTAAAATGGTGTTGATAAAATATATTAAATATACGATATACCGGTATTGCTGGGATGTTTTAGATGAAGATGTTATAACTAATTTTTTGTTACATACGTTCTGCAAAACGTTAATAAAACCCACTCAATGATATAATAATGAAAAATATACCTTGATCTTTCCAATGATTTATATCATTCAAAACTTCATCTTCAGTTGCTAAACACAATTTTTTTACAAGTTTCTTCATATTGTCGATTTTCGTTTGAAAATCTGTTTTGTTCCATTCCTCAAAATTGCAGTGACCCCAAGAATTTCTATTTTCTCTAACGATTTTTGCCGCATTCTGAATCAGGTTGGGAAAAATTGGGATCCTTTCTAGTAAATTAAGGACTGCTGATGCGTCACAATTGTTGTAACAGTTAAACTTTGCCATGTGATTTTGAAGGAAAAGTTTTCCAAAGTCGACATGTGACTTAACTTCATAGTTAAATTTCTTCTTATCCTTTGTTTCATTATTGTTGATATTTTTATAATGTAGGTCGTGGGAATATTTTGGTGAAGGAAATTTGTGAGCTGTTTGAACATGAATCTTATGAGATTTCTTTAATTTATCATACTCATTTAAAATATTATTTTCCAGGTAAGGTCGAACAGCTGGGATCAAAACATGATTAAGTACGATTCCATAAACACACCATCGTTTTTCATCGTCATTTAACAGCATTGTCCTATAACGATCATTATTAATTATTGAGGGATAATGATGTACTATATCATTAAATTTGATCCATTTAAATCATATTTTAAGCAGGTATTAGTGTAAATGCGATAATATGTTTGATTTCAAATTTTTCATTTATAGGTAAATTGATAAACCAAGAAAATCGACTATTTTTTAAAGCAAACATGTTTCGACATTATCAGAATGTTTAGTGTTAAGTAATATGATACGTAATATGATATGAATAAATTAATTACAATGAATAGGATTATGATTTAGTTACAAAATTATAAAATATTTACAAAAAAGGAAAAGAAAAGTAAGTATTAAACTTATAACAAAAATGTTATTATAAAATAAATATAGTGTTGTAGTGGTGAACTTGGATATTTAAATCGATTAGTTTTATTAATAGTAGAGCTTCCTTGATTTTGAGTGAAAAGTGGATTGATTAGTGTCGATGATTTTAAAACAGGAAGGTGAATTTGTTCTTACATGAAGGAGAGCTTGAAGATGTTTGTAGATAGTGGATTTTGTCCTTTATCCTGGTAGATAATGGCGAAGTTTCACCAATATAGCGAATTACATCCCGCACATGAAAATGATAAACTACCATAGATTTGGAAAGTTCGGGAAGTGGGTCTTTAAACGAAAATAAAGATTTTATTTTTAAAAGGTGTAAAATAGTTTAACGTCAATGTCAGTGCAGTAGCGTTTGATGATTTGTGTGAGTTTGCGTTGTGTGTGTGTCAGGTAATCACCTATGTAAGGTAGTTTGAAATAACGTTTATTGTCAGGTTGTTGTATATCGTTAGTGTTAGTTGTGGAGTTAGATGAGTCAGTGCTTTTCTTGTTGTCCAAATAGTGTTGTATAGTGTTGTTGATGAAATGAAAAGGAAAAGAATTACGTTGGAGAGTGAATATTAGTTTCTTTAAATCACGTTAAAAGCCGATGTCTGTGTTGTTAAGTTTCCGTGCTCTGTCGGTCAGTGTTCGTATCAGTCCAAAGTGACCAAATTGACGGGGTAAGTATGGGCTCACCCTTGGCACCCATTCTAGCCAACATTTTCATGGGTTTTCACGAACGAAACTGGTTAAATAACTACAGCAACAACAAACCTTTATTTTACCGCAGATACGTTGACGACATTTTTTTGTATTTTTCACAGACGACATTACTCTTTGAGTATCAACAAACAACATCAAAGCATAAACTTTACATACGAAACCGAACAAGACAATCAGTTACCCTTTCTTGACTTATTCTATACATGAAAACTGTATGACCTCTACGTACCACAAACCAACATATACAGGACTACTGACTAACTTTTTAGTTTCACACCATTAAATTACAAAATTGGACTGATACGAACACTGACCGACAGAGCACGGAAACTTAACAGACATCGGCTTTTAACGTGATTTAAAGAAACTAATATTCACTCTCCAACGTAATTCTTTTCCTTTTCATTTCATCAACAACACTATACAACACTATTTGGACAACAAGATAAGCACTGACTCATCTAACTCCACAACTAACACTAACGATATACAACAACCTGACAATAAACGTTATTTCAAACTACCTTACATAGGTGATTACTCACACACACACAACGCAAACTCACACGAAATTAAACGCTACTGCATGACATTGACGTTAAACTTATTTTCACACCTTAAAATAAAATCTTTATTTTCGTTTAAAGACCCACTTCCCGAACTTTCCAAATCTATGGTAGTTTATCAATTTTCATGTGCGGGATGTAATTCCATATATTGTGAAACTTCTCGCCAATTATCTACCAGGATGGACAAACTCCACTATCTACAAACATCTTCAAGCCTCTCCTTCATGTAAATAAATTCTCCCTTCCTGTTTTAAAATCATCGACACTGATCAATCCACTTTCTCACTCAAAATCAAGGCTCTACACATTAATAAAACTAATCCCGATTTAAATATCCAAGTTCACCACTACAACACTATATTTACTTTATAATAACATTTTTGTTATAAGTTCTTAATACTTATTTTCTTTTCCTTTTGTAAATATTTTATAATTTTGTAACTAAATCATAATCCTATTCATTGTAATTAATTTATTCATATCATATTACGTATCATATTACTTAACACTAACCATTGTGCACTGAAGATGGCATTCTGATAATGTCAAAACATGTTTGCTTTCAAAAAAATCGTCGTTTTTCTCAAGTGTTTTTTAAAATTGCTGCTAATTAGAAATTATGATAAACCAAGAGAAATTAACATTTGCAATACAGCATTTTGGAAGAGAAAATGATGTGATATAAAATTGAAATTAAGACAACTTACATTTTTTCTTCTTCATTGAACTTATTTATGATTTTTTTGCAAAACCAAGAGAAAGCAAACATAACAGCGATAAGACCAAAGAACATCTCCGTCATAAAGTATATGTCTACCTGTGAATATTGAAGAATAACATATATTTCATAACTGACGCGTGCGCATCAATTCGCTTTGGACGCACGACTAAAGCGACTGCCTAATGTGTTTCAGCCTTTAGACATTACATCAATAATTTAGTGTAGAAATACAGCATGAAGTTAGCACAATTTACAACTACTGAGAGACAAAAAGAACTTTATTGTATTTGATGAACATAAGTCAAAGAGAATTTGTATTTTATATTACATCTTGGACATCACAGACGACAATTAACCGTTGTGTGATTATATTCTTTAATTGGTTTTAAAGAGAGAGAAAAGAAACTAGAAATTTAAGAAATTCATCAAAATATATCTTAACTTGTAACGTACCTTAATTAAACCTTATATTTCACAGAATCCCCAATAACTTCAATGAAATAATCGAATAGACAATATTTTGTCGAGATTTTGATCTTATCCGTTATCCGTGTTTAACCGAAGGAGAATGTTCTCTGTCTATTGTACATAGTTTCTATTTTCCTAATGAGCGGTTTGCTAATTATTATTCATCACGTTAGATTTAGAGGTTTTCACGAACATAGACAGAATCATAAAACAGTCATGTGCTCTTTTACAAGGCGGAACAAAAAACATAAGTACATTGGTCACGTGATAAATAATCTAGTTGAAAGTTATACAATATGTGATGTCATTTCCTTTTAAGATAAACAAATGAATCCCCCCCCATTTAACATTCTATGATAAATGAATCCAGGGACATTCAGCAGTGGGACTTGCCTCGTGCAGGGTTGTTAGTTTGGCCTTTTTGAGGCCAAATAACTCGATTTTGGCCTTTTTTTTCTTTCTTTGGCCTCGAAATTTTTTTTTGGCTATTTGGCTACTTTTTGGCCTCTTTTTACTCAAACAATTTTTTTAAAATTTTTATTGAGCTTTATTTGTAAAAATCTCTTAAATGTACAAAATGCGATGGAAATACAACTAAAAATGATCATAAGGATCAAATTGAGCATTGAATTGTTTTCATCCAATCACAGCTAAGTATAATTCAGCCAATTGTCATGCAATTTAACCAGCTAATCACAAGCAAGCACACAGCTTTGTCTTCGTAGACGTCCGACATCTAGCTATAAATAGCACGTTCGACCACTACTAATACTAGTTAAGACTGATAAAAACGTTATTCGTTGCAATATTATGGCATCAAAATGGAAAGGAGCGTATGATAGCGGAAAAATATAACAAGTCTTGGGAAAGTAAATTTAGCTGGCTCACAAAAGCTTCAGACGGAAGTGAAGATGCTTTTGTAAATTGTGCGTACCACAATCAGACCCAACAAACAAACTTAACCAAACACGAAAAAACTGATAAACACATCAAACACATTAAAGTATCTACTACTACAAGGCCCATCCAAGTCGTACGTGTCCCAAAAGTTGCAGAAGAAGTAAAGGTCGCCGAGATCGAGCTAGCTGTTACAATGGCTTGCCATTCGGCAATCTTCACCATGGATCATCTCGGAGGGATAATAGCCCGAAATGCTCATGGAAGCAAACTTGAGAACATTAAAATGCATAGAAACAAATGCTCAAAACTATTGACCAAAGTTATAAGTCCAGCGTTGAAGGAACAACTGATTGCTGATGTCCAGGGTAAGAAGTTTTCGTTAATTGTGGATGAATCTACTGATATTTCCACATCGAAGCAGGTCAGCATTATCGTAAGGTATTTCAGCGAAGTTGAAAATAAGATCGTTACAGCGTTTGTTGACCTGGTTCCTGTTGTCCACACTTCAGCAGATGATCTTTTTAATGAAATCAAAGATTGCCTTGCCACAATTAAACTTGATTTAGTGAATTGTGTTGGCTATGCTAGTGACGGTGCTTCAGTGATGGTTGGAACACAATTCGCTGTGGACAAGAATAGCTGCTGTCGCTCCTCATTGCATCAAGATGACGTGTATTTGCCATTCGTTGTCCCTTTGTGTTCAGCATGCATTTGAGAAACTTCCGTCGAGTGTAGGATTTCTTCTGGCAGAAATTCCGAAATGGTTTTCAAAGAGCGCTATTAGAAGAGAAGCATACAAGACGCTCTACGAAGTGATGAATCCAGATGATGTGCAAGATGCACCGTTTGAAAGTACTCAACTACGAGGTGGCTTGTGAGAGGAAAAGTTATATTTCGCATTCTCACAAATTGGTTTGAGCTGCAAGCTTACTTCCGAACAGCACAACCAGAGACGACGCAGGCAGCAAGATTCAAGGCTCGTATTCTTCTGGACATGCTCAATGATCCAGTCCTATATCTTTATTTCCATTTCGTTTCTCCTCTGGTCACAGAATTCGACAGGGTGAATGCCTTCTTCCAGGCAACTGATGGTGATCCAGAAGAAATGTTCACGGAACTAAATGTACACCATAAAAGTTTATATGGTAGAGTTTTCGACCACCAAGGAAAATATCTAGCCATTTATGAAGTTGACTTTGGTGGAAAGTTCTTGTCAGAAGCAAAGAAATACATTTCTTCCCAACAAGACAAACGACGTGCTGAAGCTGAAGTTTCTGAAATAGGTGTCTAGAATTTCTTGTGGAAGCTGTAAATCAAGTAGAGAAACGTTTACCAGCTGTCCGGAATATCTTTAAAGGTTTAAGCGCCCTGCATCCAAGCAAAGTTCTTGATGTAACAACGAGAGCCGATTTTGAGCAACTGCCGCTTCCTAATCTACGAAAGGATCAAGATTATGCAATTGAGGAGCAGTACAGGAAGATCGTCCACCGAAATTGGAAAGAGGAACAAATTTTTAACTTTAAGGTAACTAAGCGAATGCTTGAGCTGTTTGCCACTAAACACATGTATGAATGTGAGTAGAATAAACATTATAAGAACTATGCATAAATATTTATATAAATCTGTATATATGGAGAGCAGTAAAAATGACAACTATGCACGTCGAGATCTTATAGAAAGACAGATAAAATAGTTTATTCACTTTGTATTTTTGACATGGCCTTTTTAAGCTTGTAATGCTTATCAAGAAATTTTTGGACGTGTAGTTCATTTTTTCTCTTCATTTCGTCAACAAGCACCTTATATTTTTGCAACAGCGAATAAATTTTCAGTCTTACGTTCTGTATTCACCTCTTCCCATATGTCCTTTGATGTGAACATTAGGCGTTGGCATCGCTAGATTTGCAATGTATGGTATATATTTATGATAAATCCATATAGACTATAAGAAGCAATTAGAAAAACTTATTAAAACCACATGCCATAAACAGTGCGGGCTCAGAAAACAAGTTTGGCCTCTTTTGTTGCCATTTGGCCACTTTTCAAACCATATTTGGCTACAAACGAGCGCTGGAGCCTAACAACCCTGCTAGGCCACACTATCGTCCATATCGACGAAAATTAGAACGAAAACTGCCGCAACGAAAACTTTGAACGAAAACTCGACGAAAATTTCGTTATAAAGTAAATGGTTTGAACCAATTTACAAACATGAAAATTTCGTTTTCGTGCATATGAGAAGAGTTGAAGTTTTGACCTTTTTCGTCAAAGAAAACGCATACTGTTGGCTAGTAATGTCAGACTTTATTCAAACATGGCGGGTGGCAAGAGGTTTGATAAAATCTGATGCGAAAAAACCAATTTTGTATGATAAAGTCACCAATTATAGGACTCGAGGAACAGAAGAAATCACTGGCAAGATGTTTTGGATGAATTTAATAAAATTACGGACTTGGCGTGGGATAGTGAGTATTATTGATAGTCCGCCGACACACATTTTATATCAAATCATGCATTTCCATTATTTTTTAAACATTTTACAGTTGACACTATCATGAAAAAGTGGGCAAATCTGCGTGATTCATTCATGCAGTACAAAGACAGTACGATCTTAGAAGAGCTAGTGGTGTTGCTGCCACTGACGAGCCGGGTAAAATGGTTTCACACTTTTTTATTTGAAAAAGCAGTAACTTTTTCAACAAATATTTTATTGTTAAATGTATTTTCTCTATTTGAATAGGAATATTCTGGTGCAAAAAGATCTCTGTTTTCAGAAGAGTTGGTGGTGTCATATCAAGGAATTACTACTGTTTATGAAGCATATGAAAGGAACTCAAATTTCTGGTTAATTAATTTTGTGTTTATTTATTTTTGTAAGTTATTTGATGAAGTATTCATTTATTAATGCACTCTACAGGTGACCAGCCATATCTTGGTACGATAGTTAATGGGAAATATTCATGGTTAACACACAATCAGGTAGTTCTCATATTTACTACAAACTATATCTATAGTGCCTGAAGTCCTTATGAGTTATAGTTTGACCAAATTTCAGGTGCATCAAAAAGCACATGCTCTAGGATCTGGGATAATGGAACTTGGCTATAAACCATCAACTGAAATGACATTTGGCATTTATGCTGTGAACAAATTGGAGGTTTCACACATTATGATTTTTGACTTAGATTGGTCATATTTTGATCTGTAATGTTTTTTTTATTTTTAGTGGATGTTAATGGACAGAGCCTGTGTAATGCTTTCCTTTGTATCCGTTCCACTGTATGAGAGTTTAGGTGTTGAAGCATGTATCTACATCATCAACCATGGTATGTTTACTAAGAATGTTGAAGTTACTATGGTGATTAAGAAACATCTGTTGATGACACTTGATTTCAAATTATATTCAGCTGAGTTATCATTAGTTGTGTGTGATGAGAACAAGCTGCCAATATTATTAGTCAGCTCATCAATGTCTAAACTCAAGCATATTATAAAAATTGGTGATGTGACAAAGGACGAGAGAAAACTTTAAAAACTTGGAATAACTGTAAAGTCATTTGAAGATGTTATGGTAAGATTCTTTGTTGGATTTGGTTAATTAAGTACAAAATTTGTCATGCTTGGTTTGTGTTCATTTCTTATTTTTAGTTAATGGGACACTGGAACCTTGGAAAATATGTTATCTTTTCTGGGATTTTCTTCTTTCATTTTGAAAAACATGTATTTGT